CCCCAAACCGAAGGCCGCTCCCGGGGAGCCGCCGGGCCCAGGCGCGGGCGCAGACGCACCTCATCTCGGGCAGGAAGGTCGTCTTGTAGGCTTGCTCGATGTCCTGCAGGTAGGCCGGGCTCACCTTCATCTCGTGCGGCTGCAGAGCACAGAGCCGCGTGAGACAGGCCCGCCCCGCCCCGAGTGCTCCCTGTACCCCCCACTGAGCCGCAGGGGACCGGAGAGCTGATGGCCCAGGGACTCAGCCCTCGGTAAGACTCGTGCCCTGAAATACTCAAACGCGGACTGACACGCATAACTGCTTCCTCCAGAGAGCAGAAACCAAGGAGGGGGAGCAAGAGCAGAGACAGCCCCCGCCCGCCCGGGGACAGGTGCCCGCCCGCCCACGTGGCAGCCCGGAGGGCGGCGACGCCCACGGGCTCGCAGGGAGCTCGCCGGCGTACGGCCCGCGACACCGTCCTCACGTGGCACTATCTGGACAGCTGCCCAGAGCGCTCTGAACACGCTTCGCTTTTCCCAGGGACGGTCACTAACAAGTGAGGCTGCCCCGAGCACGGGGCTGACTAGTTTCTTCCTGTCGCCTCGTGACCAAAGTCCCCGAATGGCCACACCGGCCACAGTACTGGTGACAGGCGCGTGGGGCGGCACCCGCCCAGTGCACTGGAGGAGGGCGGCGTGTCTTGGGCCCGGCGTCCCACTGCCGGTCGGGCCGCTGCCTCGCCCGCCCCCGTCGGGAGGGCCCGAGCTGCCCTGGGAAGAGCCCCCGGGGGTGACGTTCCCCAACAGTGACGGCCACGGGCAGCGAGCCCCGCTCAGCCCACGGGGACCGCGCGCGGCATTACGTCTCCCTTCTTCTGAATGCGGCTCTGGATCTCGGACACAGGCGCATCCACGTAGACCACCACGTGGGGGGGCAGGTACTCGCAGATGGTGATCTTCTTCACCTCGTTGTAGTGGTCCACACCTGGCAGGCGAGCGGGCCGGCGGTCAGCAACGGCCCCCGGCTTTCTAAGCCTGCTCCCCTCTAAAGGAAGGTCGGGGCCGGCAATTCTTGGCCAGGGGCAACGTGATGGCCGGCGACAGCTGCCCCAGATGCCGCCACACACCGGGGGACAGCGGGGCTGCTATCGCCCGTCCGCATCGCCCGCCCCAGGCCTGGGGCAGCCGGCGGCAGGATGCCTTGGCCGGGCGCTCAGGTGGGAACGGAGCAGCTCGGCGGCTGCTCGGCTGGAGAGGCCCTG